GTTCCCGGACTGGGAAAGCCAGGGGAGTAGAGGAGCACGTCCAGGAGAAATGTAATTGGCAGAAACGGGAGATGAGCTGTTTAATCCTGGCACCAGCAGCTGGTCTGAGCGACCCGTAGAGACCATAGAACCATCCCCGTGGTGGGACAGGAGTGTCCAGAGCACTGAGCACACGAGTGCTGTCTGCTGCTATCTGTCTGTTCCTCTTGTGGATCGTCAGGACAGCTGTATCCCCAGTGCACCCCATCTCCATGGAAATCACAGTCTTTGTTCTGAAGAGGGACATTTTTCACGGGTGAGATGGGATGGGATGAGGGGTAACAGTTTCAAACAGAGAGAGAGGAAATTTAGATGAGATATTAGGAGGAAATTATTTCCTGTGAGGGTCGGGAGACCCTGGCCCAGATTGTCCAGAGGAGCTGTGGCTGCTCCATCCCTGGCAGTGCTGAAGGGCAGGTTGGATGGGGCTTGGAGCAGCCTGGGCTGGTGGGAGGTGTCCCTGCCCATGGGGGGGGTTGGAGCTAGATGGTCTTTAAGTTCCCTCCCAAAACAAACTGTTCTGTGATTCTGTGAATCCAGGCTTTGCACTCTTCCAAAAATAAAGGGTCCAACAGTGCAGACAGCAGGACATTGCACACCGGGGGGGCTGTGGACACCTGCTGCTCCCATCATGGAGACCTTGGGCCTGTAGAGCTTTGGTGCTGGAGGGACATCTCCACCTGAGGCTGGAGGAGAACACAGGGCTGGGCTGGGAAGAACCAGGGCAGGGAGTGAGTATGCCTGGGAGATGGAGGTGCCTGTGGAAAAAGAGACAAGCAGGATGGGGCTCAGAGGATGACAGGAGTGGAAAAATGTGTGTTGGGGCAGAACGGGAAGTGGAGGGGGCAGGAGTGGGTGTGTGGAGCTGGGCCATGCAGAAAGCCCTGTTGGTCCCATGGGAGCCACAGGGTGGACATTTCTGTGTGAGGAGGTGCTGTCCAGCGGGCAGAGCTCTAGGAGAGGGAGGACTGCAGTGCACAGCAGTGCTTCTCACCTCCTTGGCCAGCAGCAGCCAGTACCCACCATGAAACCTGTGGGGCTGAGGAGCTGCCTGGAGCAGACACACTTCTTGGGGCTGCCAGCTGCTCTGCTGTCCCACATGGGGACAGGAAGGGGTGGGATTCTGGGATCCTGGAGGTTTCATAATGCTGTGTCTTGTTCCTCGGCTAGGAGAGCCCCCCTTTCTGATGAGGAGTCTAAAACAAGCAGCTCCCAGCACTTGGGGTCTCAGGAGTTTTGCGTCAGCAGCAGCCTTTCCAAGGTGAGCTCCTTGCCTGCCTCTCTGGGTCCAAGAAGGCCGTTTCCCAATGGAACAGGCCAAGTGAGAGAAGGGTCCTGTGGGCTCCTTCTCCAGAGGTGTGCACCCAGGTGCACCAGGCAAAGCAACGCTCTAGTTTGGCAAGAGCCACTTCTGCTTCTGTGTCCTGGTGGGGGCTTGAGAAAAGGTCCTTCTGGCTCCCCCAGGACCCCTTGCACAGCTTTGCAGCCTTCTTCCTTCTCCTTGCAGGTGGAGCTCACAGCAGTCAGCGGTGGTGGCGGCAGTGCCCAGGGGCTGGATGCTGATGGCAAGGTGGAGGAAAAGCTTGGGCCCAAACTGGAAGAGCATCCACCTGATCCCAACCCAAACCTGGAGTGTGCAGCAAAGACTGTGAAAGATGAAGCTCTGGGCCCTTCAGAAAGCCAGGAGGATGGCAGAGGGCAGGAGCCTGCCATCCCCAGAGCTGCTGAGCAGGAGAGCAGTGGTGCTGATGCTGCCTGGACCCCTGCAGATCCTCCCAGTGACAAGCAGGCTGATGCTCCTCCAGCCTGCTCCACAGCTCCAGAGAGCGAGCCCGCTGGGAAGGAGAAGACCACCCCAAGCGCCGGAGCACAAGGGCCAGGTGTGCTGGCAGAAGGGACGTTGTCTGTGGTCGTCTCCAGCTGCAGCACCTCTGCCTCCACTCCTGCTACTTTTGCTTTGAACAGAGTGTGCTTTCCCACGTCTCAGGCCTCTGCTATGCAAAAGATGCCCCTGTCCTTCCAGCCCAGAGCAGTTCTGAGCCCCTGCCAGTCTCTGGTGTACATCCCACCGCCCAGCTGTGGGCAGCCGCCCCGCGTGGCCACCGTCCCC